ATTGCTACTAGACAAGCCGTGCGAGATAGTATCCAATCACAACATGAGTGGCACAAAAGACAAGAATTCAGACAAAGAACTAGTGGTTGGAGTAACATATATGAAGAAGGACGAAGCTCTCATGGTTCAGTTTCTGAATATTTTGAAGAAAGAACAGGGAAATCAACTCTAAATGAGTCTGAATTTTCATTAAGGGGAGCTATTCCTGAATTGGTTAGAAGTAAAAGTTCAAGACAACCAAAAGTAAGTGATTCATTTCTAAAGACATTAAGAAGAAAAATGGGTGAATCAGTATCAAAATTTTTAATATATGATCGACTTCCTTTTCAATTAGCAAATTCCCCATGGTTGCATAATTTGATTTCTATGGCAGCAGAAGTTGGCCAACATGTAAGACTTCCAACACCTTATGAGGTCTTAGATGTGTATTTAGAGTCTGAGTATCAACAAGTTAATGAATGGGTTAATGGAAAGCTTATTGGAATGAATTGGGTGTCACTTTGATGTGTGATGGTTGGACCAATAGTTTGAATCAAATGCATATCATTAATTTCCTTGTTTACTGTAGTAAATGGACTATTTTTTGGGAATTTGTAGATATCTCAAGTGTTCGTAGTAGAGATACAAACTTTTACTACAGATTATTAGATGAAGTTGTGGAAGAAATTGGAGAAAAATACATTGTTCAAATAGCCACTTATAATGAGGTAGCACTTAAGGTCATAGGAAAAAGACTAATGGAGAAGAGAAAACATTTGTATTGACAGCATGTTCAGCTCATTGTTTGGACTTGTGCCTTGAAGATATTGGGAGGAAAAAAAATGTGGCAAAGGTTTTGGATGATGCAAAGAAAGTGACTTGTTTTATATACAATCACATTTGGACTGTTAATTTGATGAAGAAATATACACAAGGGAAGCAAATACTTCATCCTGCTCTTACCCAATTTACCACTCATTCCATACAATTAAAAGAAATAATGAGGCAAAAGCAAAGTTTGAGAGAGATGTTCAATTCAAAGGTTAGTACTTAGTAATTAGTACAGCTATTTAAATCTAGCATCTTTTTATGATATTATTGTTTTAAAATATTAATTTAAAAAATATTACTCTAAAAATTTATTGATGAATATATAGGAATTTAAAGATTCAAAATGGGGACAATAAAAATCAGGACTTGCTTATGAAGTCAAAAAAATCATTTTGGGAAAAGATTTTTGGAAAAAAGCAGACGATATAATAAAAGTTTATGAGCCTTTGGTAAAAGTGTTGCGCCTTGTGGATGATGATGAAAAACCAACAATGGGTTTTATTTACGAGGCTGTGGATAGAGCTAAACAAACAATTCAACAAACTTGTCGTTATTCTGCTGAATATGAAAAGATTATTGACAATAGATGGAGTTTCATGTACTCTGACTTGTATTCAGCTAATAAGTAAACCAAGAATATAGATGGCATTTAAAAAAAATGTTTATTTTTTATACTTAAATTGCTTATATATTTATTTTTTATTATTTTAATATAATATTGTTATAAATTATGTTTAGGTTACTATCTAAATCCACAATTTCAATTTGGAGTGGAACATTCTACAAATGTATTTAAGGAAACATTAGAAGGTATAAAAGTAGTTATTGAAATATTAGAACCTTCGATAGATACTCAAATCAGAATGATTAATCAAGTTAGTATTTAATACTATTTTATAACTTTAACATTTGTTTTATGTATTAAAAATTAAATTATTTTTTATTTATTTATTTATTATTATATTTTCAATCGATGTAGTTGTTATTATTTCGAGACAAGCATGAAACATTTGGTAGTCCACAAGCACAAAGAGCTTGGAAGAAATGAATCTAGGTAAATAGTAAGTTAAATAATTATAATTTATTTATATTATTTAATTGCATAGCCCATTGAAATTTAATTTAAATAATTTTATACAGCTAAGTGATGGATGATATATGGCACTTGTGTTCCTAAATTACAAAAACTAGCAATCAAAGTGCTTAGTCAAACAACATCTGCATCAAATTGTGAACGTAATTGGAGCACATTTAGCTATATTCACACCAAAGCAAGAAAGAAATTGAAGTTTGAAAAACTCCAGAAACTTGTATATACCTATTATAACATGAGGTTGAGGATGAGACATCAGAAAAGAATGAGCATTGATGAAATACATAATAGTTTTAATCCTATTAGCCTTGACCATATTTTTGAAGATGATGATCCACTCACAGAATGACTGCAAGAGAAAGAAAATCTTCTATTAGATGGTCAAAACTCTGATCGGTTGCCTGCAGATAATTCTGATAATGAAATGAATGTTGAACGATCACGTCAATCTTAAGAAAGGAATGTGTCTCATTCAAGTTCAAGTCCAACACTAAGTCAGAGTGATGATGGTGGTGGTTTAAGTCCAAATGATGATGGTGATGGAGATGGTGATGGTGATGGTGTGAATTTTGGTGATAATATAGATGCAAATCGACCTTACAGCCCACTTGGAGGAGAATTTGGGCTTATTGCTACTGGTGGACTTTTCATTAATATGACAGAATACGGAGGAAATCCATTTGCTGAATCTAGTGAAGGTCAAAGTGCACGTACAACTCGATCAAAAGGAAAATTGAAGAAGCACCACTATGAAATTTCTAGAGGTTCTTCATCTTCAGGTGAAAGACCAAATTCTAGTAACTTTGAGTATAGTGAATCATCTACTAGTACTCAAAGACATTACTATCCACCAAAACAACATAATTTTTAACCTCCTCATGGTTATCCACCTCCATATGGTTATCATTCACCTCAAATGTATCCTCCACCTCTTCAAATATATCCTCCACCTCAAATGTATCAGTAACCACAAATGTACCCTCCACCACAAATGTATCATCCTCAAATATATCATCTACCTCAAATGTATCGAGAACAAAGGTCTCAAGGATGGAGATGGAGTCAACTTGGCTCTCAAAGTGAAGATAGAGAATCTGATCCTCCTTGTCATTCTACCATGTGGTAAATTTGAAATATGTATCAATAATTGTAGTTGATGGAATTTGAATTTATTATCTTTTTAAGTTTGTAATTTTATTAAATTAAATGCTTGGTATTTAACATATTATGTTTTGTTAATATTTGATTTGTCTAGAATTAATATTGAATATGAACTTGACCAAGAAAAATTTTATGGATAAACCAAATATGAATGCTTTTTATAATCTAAATAAAATTATGAATAATTTTTTTGAAAATAAAAAACATAGTGTCATAAACTATTTTTAAAATCATTGAATAAGAGTTTTTATAATTATAATTATAATTATTATATTTTATAATAAATTATGCAAAAAAAAAAAATTTCATGACCGTGATGACCACAGTGACTGCAATTATCTCTGTTATATCCGAAAACGCGACAAATACTACGCGATCAAAACGTGACCGCGACCGCTATTTAAATCCCTGGTATCGATCAGGGGATGCTGATTTACAATTTGTTTCTTGAATATGCACCTGGTGGTAGTCTTTTGGATTTGATGGTCAAGAAATATAGGGGCAAGATACCAGAATGCGATGTGAAGTGCTACACCAAAATGCTGCTTGAAGGGATTCGGGATATCCATGCGAGAGGCTATGTCCATTGTGATCTTAAGCCGGCAAATATCCATGTTTTTCCTCCTGATCGGTATGGTTCCATTAGCAACCTAAAGATCGCTGATTTTGGCCTGCTTAGACGAGCTGGAGAAAGAAATATGCCAGAGGTAGAGGCTTGGATGCTAAATTTTCCACGTACTGGAGTTTACATGCCACCAGAATCTGTTACTGATGGGAAAATCAGTGCTGCCTTAGATATATGGTCCCTAGGGTGCGTTGTTCTTTGAGATGATCACCGGAAAATTACCATGGGAATATCATAACTTGGCGGATTTGGCGATCAAGATTGGATTTTCGAGATATCCTCCAAAAATACCAGAAACCATGTCAAGCGCTGGGAAAGATTTCTTGATGAAGTGTTTTGCCAGGAATCCAAGTGAAAGGTGGACTGCTGATACGCTATTAAGCCATCCTTTTCTCCTTTCAGAGTGCCCTTCGTTGTCACCTCATTGTCTTCCATGCATGGAAGAACTGGAGGCAATGTGCCAAGCTCGTTTGGATGATTGAAAATTGTTTTATTTTTTCGTTTTTGTCTCTTTACTTGGATACAATGTCAGATGTCTAACATAAAAATTTTCCAATTAATCTGTGGTTAGATGTCATCCTGAAATCATAAAATTCATGATCTGTTGCGAACGATCTGATCTTATTTTGTTTCGCGTATGTGTTTATTGTAAGTGGGGATTTGGTTTCATTACTTTATCCTTGCAGTTGGTCCTGTATACGAGTGTATACTTTTACATACTCTCAAGCAGGTAGTAGGCTAGTCGCCTGTTATTTGATGCAATTCTGAAATATAAAACTCCCATTATAGTTTCCTAAAATTTATACAAATGCCAATCTTCTAAAATTTTCACCTTTTCAAACTTTAATTACTCCAATTTTGTGTTAAATTATCCATCAGAATGAATATGTCTTGGATAAATCAATTCAAGTGATTGTATATAAAGAAATAGATAGATGGAAATTAACTTATATGAATAGTATCAATTAAGGAAAAGTTCATTTTTATAATCAATGTTAAGTCCAAAAAGAACCCATTGAGCAATAGAAATCGAAGCTCAATTAAAACTATTAAGCCGAAGGGAAAAAGAACCCATTGAGCAAGAGAAATCGAAGCTCAAAGCTCAAAGCTCAATCAAAACTATTCAGCCAACGTAAAAATTAGTAAAATAATATATGGCCCATGCAGGTTTCGAACCTGCGACCTTCGCGTTATTAGCACGACGCTCTAACCAGCTGAGCTAATAGGCCATTGACAGATGGTTTACGTGATAGCTACTTTAACTAATAAAAATTACCGACCTGTGCTGTTATTCTACCTGAGGCTTAAAAGGAAGGTGTATGCTGGTGTCCCAGATAAACAAACCAAAGAAAGAAGGTATGGAACACATTACAGCAAGCGAAGTTGCAGGCTTTGGAGTTGGCACTTTGTTAGTATGTGCTACAATTGCTGCCCCCAAAGTTGATGCTTTCATTTCTGCATCACAAAGAAGGTGAACTTTTCAAAACCCATTTTTGTTTTCGTCCAAGTTTTAGACTTTTTTTTAGTTTCTAAGTAAAACCCAGATTGTTAAAGGTCTTAAATCATTCAAAAGTTAGCATTTTTATTATTGGCTTTGAGTAAAAGTTGGTATTTTGATTGTTCTTTTTTTCATGAATTGTGAGTTGTGACCCGTTCAGTTGTTGTGTTGAGAATTCTTGAGAATTTGTAGATTTTGATGTTTTACCATTAGTCTTTTGAATATATAGTTGCTATATCTTTTGAATTCCTAGGATAAAGTTTAATTGTTGGGTTTTTATGACTTTTTAGGTAATGGTTGCTATATCTTTATGCTCTGATATATGTCGTGGCTCTATCTCGAAAGGCTGAACTTTCCCACATAGAATTATGTAAAAGTTATCTTCCCAACCAGATAATTCTGGTGGCATACGCAATTCTAAGTAAGAAATCGCATCTGTGTGGAGGTGTTGATCAGTGTCTTTTACTGCATGTTATACTAGCAAAAAAGTGGCCCAGAAGTACTAAACTAAATTTAAACATAACCCTTTAGGAAGCCCCAAGTTGGCTTCCTTTTCCTGGTGTTGGTATCTTGCTACGGTACTTGTGGTTCACTTTTTGTTAGGAAATTCTTGGATGCCTTAGATTGGACTGAATGTAAAAGTTGCATAATACTAGCAAGTAAGATAAGGGGATAAGGGTATAGAATCAGTGTCTACAGCAGGTGCAAGTGAATGCACTCCATTTCTTTCTAAACTAAGTTGCACATCAGCTTTATGAACTTAAGTCTTCATGTGACAAAGAATGCAACCAAGCATTAGTTCTTTAAGTGATCAATCTTCTTTTCATTGTCCAAATTTTGGGTACTCATGTACTTGAGTTTTGAGGGACTTAATCCGCTGTTTCCCTGCTTTGAATTATGAAAGGAAAAAAAAAAAAAAAAGCTAAATGATTGATAACTATAATATATAGATTAACCAGACAACATAATTATGTAAATTGAATATCTATTTATTGTATTAAGGTAGGTAGTATGTCTTATCTATGTCTATATCATGAGGTTCCCAACTATTATTAAACTTGGCTAGAAAAAAAAAAATTGCCAGGATATGCTTCACCATAACTGCCTTGATCTGTACAGCTAGGATCATTTTGTCTAAGGTGCACATGCTGATGTGCAACTTCTTAAAATTGCAGTTCTTTGGGCTTGTGCAAAAGATGCGGTGATGTAAGGATGATAGCATGCTCAAGATGTAGAGGAACTGGATTAATCAAAGCAAATGGACCATTCAGTTTTAACCTTATAGATGATTTATATCAGTCCTTTGCAAGTGCTGAATTGAAAGTAAAATCTATTGGATGTACAAAATGTCAATCTAGAGGTCACTTCAGCTGCCCTGATTGCTCTAATATACCTAAAGTTTGATTCTCAGTCATGCCATTGAAGACATATCTTTTTTTGTGCTCATGCTTATGATCACGAGCTTTCTTCCTATAGCCATTGTACTTAAAATTTTTTCTCTTAATACACTGGATTTTGTAAATCCTCTTGTAGATGGAGATTTGTGACAGTGGCTCCTATTTATACTGATTTCATTTGTCAATGTCAACGTTATAATGGATGTGTTATGAATCCCGTCTCTTCCCTACATTGTACTTAAAACCTTTTTGTCTGAATGCACTGGATTTGATTATCGCACTTGTAGATGTAGATTTGTGAGAGTGGCTTCTATTTATACATGTTTCATTATCAATCCCAAAGTTATAATGAATGTCCTATGAATCCTGGTTGTTTATGATTGTGTCAAACAAGGAAAGCATGTGTAAATCTATTCAAGTCCACTAAAGGAAGCAAGGTAATTATTCCTTTTTGCCTTAGATATATGGTCCCTTGGGTGCATTGACAGCATTGTTCTTGAGATGATCACCGGAAAACTACCATGGGAATACCAGAAGCCGACAGATTTGACGATTAAGATTGGATTTTCAAGATTCGATTTTCAAGATATCCACCGATATACCCGAAACCGTGTCAAGCACTGGGAAAGATTTCTTGAAATGATTTGCAAGGGATCCTAGTGAAATGTGGACTTCTGATATGCTGATTAAGCCATCCCTTTCTCTTTCCAAAGTGCCCTTTGTTGCCATCTCCAACAAATCTCGTCATTGTATTCCTTGCATGGAAGAACTGAAAACAATGTACCTAGCTTTTTTGGAAAATTGAAAATTGTTTTTTTTTTTTTTGTCTCTATACTTGGATGCAATGCCGGATAATATAAATATTTTCCAATCTTTGGATTGATATCAGCCTTAAATCTTTAAATTCATGATATGTTGCTGACAATTTCTTTCTATTTTGTTTTCCATCTGTTTATTGCAAATGGGCATGTGGTTTCATTAATGGTATCTTTGGTGATGGTCCTGTATAAGTTTTTCCCTGTTCTCAATCAAGCAGTTGCCTATTATTAGATGCAATTCTGAAACATAAAACTCCCATTATATTATGCAGATATAGATTTTCCATTGAATGCTAAACCACAGTAACTTTCAACCGGCAGATAAAGGAATGGAAATAGAGTATTGAGCAGCTGCTCTACATGAAAAGTGAGCTTCACGAAGAGTCCGAGATGGGATAGAAAGCGATGAACTGATATCGGTTGGTTTTACGAAGTCACATTTCATATTAATTAATATCACAGTATTAGTTTTCTAATTCCTTCCAGGAATTGGTGGAATAGGGAGCCCTGGAAGGGGTGGCAGAGGAGGGAGTTGAGGTAATGGTGGGAGATTGGGAAGCGGAGGACTTGGTTGAGGTGTTTCTGGGTCTTGAAGTGGAGGTGTAAATATGGGATAGTTTGGTTCGCCAAATCCCAAGGTGTTTTGAGTGTTGAATTTCTTAGAATCTTGAACACTTGGTTTTTGGTTGCATAGATTCGGTTGTTTCACTGGCTTGAAAGTGAAAAACCCAGCTGAGAAAATGTGAGTTCCTTTCTTTCTTGACTTGAGAATGAGTGATGATGAAGTTGTTGTTGAGGCCACAGAACAATATGGCTCATTGCTAGTGACAAGTTTCACTGAACATCTCTTGATTTTCTTTACATGTTTGCTAACTGAGAAAGGCAAACGAACTATGAATTCTCCATGCTTATTGGTTTTCACTTCTTGTCGAAAACTTGGCCTCCAACTCCCATCGTTACATTCCACTGCAACAGATGCACCTGCAGAAACAAATCCTAGAAAACATATTATTTTGAGCCTGAACAGATCAAAACAAAAACGCTAATAGCCATGTTGATAGAATATTGAACTTCTAGTTTTAGTTATCAAGATTTAAATCTCGGCAACTTTAACTATAAAAATAAATAAATAAATAAAAGGCCAGGAAAATTGGAAGTTAAACAGCTGACCTGAAATAAAGTGGGTGGCCTTGGAGAAATCCTCCTGGAAACTAGTGTCACAGTACACAGTTCCAACAACAACAACAGCAGAATGAAGCCTATGGCTATGGCTAGCCTCTGAGAGATGATTGATTGTTAAACTAAGCAACAATATTAAGGGAAACCAAGACATTTTCATCCCTCTCATCTCTCCAAGTACCTCTTTTTTTTATTCAATAATAACTCATCAACTTTTATAGTCTATCCCATCAGCTTTCTTTATGTCATTCATGCAAAAACCAGTCAACTGCAAACTGGTAGCAGTGAATTCAGGTTTAATCTCTCCCACCTCCATACAGCTCAAAAGGAATGTATAAATTAAACAATGTGGGATAGGGTTGGATTTACTCCTGCTTGTTCACAAGCCACTTAAAGCTGCCAAGGCAACGAAAAATAACAGGAAACTTTAATCATGAAAATGTTTTTTCTTTTTTTTTTGCTGTGTTTATGTTCTTCATATTTCAGCCTGCTTTTTGCAAGCCAAGCACCGTTAATGCTTAGCCATTTGAGCAGAATGCAATAATCAGCCATGATTTTCCAATCATTGTTCCAAGTGAGCCAAAAAAAGTCGTATCACTCAAGTTTGATTAGAAGGTTTGAAATCTTGAGATATTCAAATTGACAATTATTTTTTATACCAAAAAGATTTAGAATCATTTACTGATAACAAACAAATTATGGTGACAGTTTACTTTTAAGACGCAACATGAATTTATTAAACTGCTATTCTTGTCTAGTGTTCAACAAGATCACTTTTTATATACCCTTCTTTCATTTCCTTATTCTTTTATCACTTTTTACATAACCAACTAAGAAATTTTTCAAATTCAAGAATTTTGAAATGTGACATTTGAATTGCTGCATTCTTAAATTTTTCAAAAATTCTAATAAAAATAATTTTCAAATTTTTTTAAATTTCCATTCAAACACACTATAGAATATTTTCCAATTATTTTTGTTTCGCGACAATCATTTTTTAAAAATAATCTATATAAAATATAGACATTTTTTTATTGTTTAAATGATTCAATGAAAAATGTTTTATGTAAATAATTATGTAATCTTATCTGTTAATAGAGTATTAAATCTTTTTCTAAAATTTTAATTTATCCTTAAATCACTTACCCTTATGAGATGTTTGATACACAGATAGTGTGATATCCAAAAAAGTGCAATACCTGAAATTTTCTTTAATTTTCAAGGTATCATATATTTATATTCACTCGTTTCGTTGTAGAGAATCCACATATATTAATTCTTACATAATTATCATAATTTCCTTAACAAACTTACGACAACTTTTCATTTTGTTTTATTAATAATAAATACCCAAATGACAAATGATACCTTTAGCAACAAAAAAAATAAATTTTTAATTTATTGTTGTTTTAATTTATAAACATCATCAATTAAAGCATTTGTTAACATAAACGCCTTAATTGATAAGGTATATATTATTTAAATATATGATCAATTGTGGTGTTTGTTATGCCAAATGCCTTAATTGATTTGTTTTATAGAATGCCTTAATTGATCTATTTTACAAATTTTAAAACAAATCAATTAAGGCATTTCTCGACACAAACGCCATAATTGATCATTTTAAAATATTCATTCCTCGTTCTAGAACATTGAAAAACCAAACACGTTAATTATTCAAATCTTGATGTTCAAATTCATTTGGTTGGCTAATACTCCATTCAACAATATTACCTTCAATAGGGTCAAAAATCGTCTTAGACATAATAAAATTAAGAATAAAGCAACAAGCAGAAATGATTCTACACTATCTTTATTGAATAAAATGACTTCTCCCTTAATATTACCTATCTAGCTTTCAATATACCAAAACATTTTTCGATACAATTTCTTACTTTAAAGTGTTTCATTTATTCCTTAGGGGTCGTTAGTTGGAGTCCTGCCCTTCAATCACTAAGATGGTATCGTTAACCTCTATAAGGTGCTAAAAAACTTTCCCTATTTATGTATCTAACATCAAACAAAAAGTAATTACTTGTTAATGTGGAACAACATTAATAATATCAAAAAAATGTGTTTCGTTATAAACATAAAACAAACATAATAAAGATAATACCTTGTGGGGTTCTCAACCCATTCATGCGTGTAATGGCATCCTTTAACACTCTACCATCTATTGTAAAACCTTCACATTCTAATAGAACATATATGAATTGCATATCTGAGGTGCAAATACCAAGAATCTTGGTAACAATTTCATTTTTCTTAATCTTGTATCTAGGTTTGTCAACTGTACCTACATTGACTTTAATGTATGTCTCGTCTAAAGCACCTAAACTACCCTTAAACCATTTTCATCTATTATCTGTTGTATTATCTAATATCAATTCAAGTTTTTTAAATAACATCATATGCAGTCTTAAAACAGAATTCAACATAAAATAGAATTGCCTACTAATCGTTTCTCCAAATCTAGCTACTTGACACTTTATAACCCCATTTTTTTATGATGGCTATGATGTGGAGGAAACTAATGACATATGTCCAGATGAATGAAATCTTCTTTTTGTTTTAAGCAAATGACATAATTTTGTAAAAACTCTCATATTTATTCTAGTATTATTTACTCACTATTTATCACTTTCAAAGGTCATTACATTTAAGTTTAACTCTCTAATATGTAATCTATCATAATATGTTTCACCATGAGATAATCTACGTCATTTTCTAACGTTCATATGTAATAAAGTCACAGTAATAAAACATAACACATGCAACAAAGTCTCCATCTGGTTCAAATGCATCATAAGCAATGGAACCAATTACATCTTGGTTTTTACTGATAAACCAGTCATAACTGTTTAGAAGACAGAATCTTGTTAAAGTTAAAAACATAAATGGAAACCAAATCTTTGCATATTGTACATGAAATCTATCAAACATCAAAAAAGAAAATATAAATCAGTAACAAAACATTTTTGGATGAACAAGCTAAAGCAAATAAACCACAAAGCACATTTGATATATCAGAAATAGAAATCTAGATCTAAACGATATCTCAAAAGATGAAAAAAAATGGAATGTAACAAATAATATAGATTAGATAATTAGGATTCAGAAAGTATCCACATCGATTTTTGTAAAAAACGAAGATAAACTTAACAAGACAAAGATTAAATGATGGATGTTGAAATTGAAGTTGTTCAAAAAGAAAAGTATTTGCTTTGAGCTTAAATATGTTGAAATAAAAATAAAAAATGTATTAGTTATTGAAACATGATGAAGACATCAATTAAGGCATTTCATATATGAAAACACCTTATTTGATGTATAAAATATAGGTTCTTCTAATTCATGATTAAACATTACAATGTTTATATTGTTAAAACATGATCTTCGAGATAAAAAAAATTTAATATTCAAAAATTATAACATTTGTAGGAAGAAATACTTTAATTGATAACCAATTAACGTGTTTTTTTATTAAAATACCTTAATTGATGGCCGCTTGAATTTTTATCAAACTGTGACTAAAAATAATTTATTTTATAACACGATCTTCAAGACCTAAAAAAAATTTAATATCATATCAATTAAGGCATTTCTTATTTAAAACGTCTTAATTGATCATCAATTAAAGCGATTAATGAAAGAAACTCTTTAATTGATGATCAATTAAAGTGTTTCTTCCTTGAAACACCTTAATTGCAACATAAATTAAAAAAAAAATTATATTGTTTATAAAAAACTTACAACTGAGTTCTAATCACTTTCAAATTTACTTTTCAAAACGGTAACGATTATGTGATCAATTTTTTATTCAGGTTAAATTTGAATTAAGATAATTTTTTCTCCCAAAATCTTAAAATACTATAAGGAAAAGTGAATTTTTTATTCTGAAACTTTGGGTACTATTAAGAATCTAATATTTTTTTCGTAATTGGATTATCCTAAACCAAGTGTGAAAAACAAATACTCACCATCAAAATTCCGAAAGAAAATTTATGGATTCTTTATAACTAAACGCACTCTTAATCTAGCTAAAAAAAAAAATTATACATATAAACTCTTTCGAACCATAATCTCAAGGCCAAGTTCCAATATTAATAGAGTGTTAAACTTTTAATTCTAATAATTAGAGTTCAATCCCTCACATACTCAAATACTTCAAAAAATGTTTTATGTTATTTAGTTATTTTTTGACAATTTTGCTCCTTTTTTAATGGTATTATTAGCATAAAAATTAAAAATTTTATAGTCAAATATTAATATTTTAAAATAATAATTTTAATATTAAATTATTATATTAATATTCTATACTTAAAAATACTATTTATTATTATAATATTATTTACATTAATATTTAAAATAATTTAAAATTATTATTACTACTAATATGAAATATTAAAAATAGTAATATCTATTATTAGAACATTAAAATATTTATAATATTAAAATAGTATTATTTTATATTTAAAATATTTATTATTTAATCATAAGAATATTATTTATATTTATTATTAAAATAGTAATTTAAAACATTTGTCAATAAATATTAAAAATACTATATATATATTCAAAATTATTAATAAATGATAAAAATATATATTCTTAAAAATTAGTATTAAAATAATAATATTGTTATATTAAATAATATTCATTATCAAAATAATCAAAATAATATTTACTATATTAATATTTATTATTTATTATTAAAATACTAAAAGTATTTATGTTTAATAATACTCAATCTATTAATATAATAATATTTCAAGATAGATCAATCTAAATCCATATATAAAAATCATATCCAAAATTCGACTCTAGTCATACTAAGCTTAGTGACAAATCTTGTCATATAATTTTGAAGAGGCCAACTAGTAGTATATAATAAAGTTTATCTTTTTTTTTTCTAAGGTGTATGTTATCATACTTATAAATATATATATATGTGCAAACAATATATTGATAAAAACATGATAAACTCATAAAATTATAAAACAAACATATTACTATGACAACATTATATTTTTAATAATAACATGATTTACAATTAACCATTGAATTACTAATTACATAATCTATCAATGAATTATGAGAATTTTTTTTTATAAATTAAAATTGAAATAAAAAAGTATGATTAAATCAATCATATTTAAAGATTTTATCAAAATAAGAAAACTAAATGTTCTTTTAAAAGAATGAAGATGAAATTTTGAAATTAAGAGTTTGGTGTTTTCTTCCTTTTGTAAAGTACTTCCAATATGATTTTTTCTTTTTTATAAACTGAATTACAACAACACATTTAAAGTAAAA